TTCCTCTTCCTCTACCTGCTGCACACTCTCTGGCATGGCTTCAACATGCCGCGCCTGGTGCAGTGCGCCAACGTGGCCCCCTGCCCCAATATCGTGGACTGCTACATCGCCCGACCCACCGAGAAGAAAATCTTCACCTACTTCATGGTGGGCGCCTCCGCCATCTGTATCGTACTCACCATCTGCGAGCTCTGCTACCTCATCTGCCACAGGGTCCTGCAAGGCCTGCACAAGGACAAGCCTCGAGGGGGCCGTGGCCGCTCATCCTCCACCAGCCGAGCTTCCACCTGCCGCTGCCACCACAAGCTGGTGGAGGCTGGGGAGCTGGATCCAGATCCAGGCAATAACAAGCTGCAGGCCTCAGCACCCAACCTGACCCCCATCTGACAACAGGGCAGGGGGTAGGGCAACATGGGGGCTGCCAATGGGACAGGCAGGGCGGTGTGGCAGGGTGGAGAGGTCCTACAGAGGCTGAGTGACCCCACTTTGAGTTCACTAAGCTATGCAACTTTCCTTTTGGCAGATATTTTTTGACACTGGGCACTGGGCTGTCTACCCGGGTATAGGTAACCCACAGGCCCAGTGCCAACCCTCAAAGGACACAGACTTTGAAACAAGCGAATTAACTATCTATGCCTGCAAGGGGCCACTTAGGGCGCTGCTGGCAGGGCTTCTAGCTAACCCAGGAAGGGGTCATCAGGAGAGGCTTCCCTGAGGACACAATGTGTAAGAGAGGTGAGAAGAGCTCCCAAGCAGAGACAACGGCAGCACAGAGGTCTGGAGGCCATACAAAAAGAGATGCTCGCCCTGGGCTAGCCTCAGCGGACCTAAGGCATCTCCACTCCTTCCAGAGGAGCCGCCCAGATTCCTGCAGTGGAGAGGAGGTCTTCTCCCAGCAGCAGCAGGTCTGGAGACCTGAGAGTGAGTCTGACAAGAGGTTCTGGAGACACCCAGGGGTCCTCCAGGTCATCACTTGGCTCAATGGAAGCCCTCTTCCCCCAAATCCTACTCCCTCAGCCTCAGGCAGTGGTGCTCCCATCTTCCTCCCCACAACTGTGCTCTGCCTGGTGCCAGCCTTTCAGACCCTGATCCTAGGGACTCGGGTGGATGCGCTGATAGCACATGCTCAAGACAGTTTCCTTGAAATCAATAAAGCCTGTGTTTTCTACAGGTTGGCTCTGCCCCTGGTTCTCCCACACTCCCACCCACTCACAGGACCCTGAAGGTAGGGAAGGTAAACCCTCAGAAAGGGAAAGAGTTCCATGGCTGGGGGTGGAGCTAGGGTGGGAGCTGTGGCAGTGGCTGCAGCTGGGGCTGGAGCTAGAGCTGGGTTAGGCTGGGGCTGAGGTTGACAGCGGGAAGCTGGGTTTGTATTAGAGGAGGAGGCTGGAGTGGAACCTACTGATATATATGTTGGGATTCTAGTTGTGGCCACAAGAGTGCGCTGTGCTCCCTCTGCAATAGCACTTCCAGCCTTCGTAATTAGACTTCGCCCTGAGTACACACACAATCACTGCCACTCACTATAAATAAACCACACTCCCTCCTCTGTCATCCAGTCACTGCCATCACAACACACATCCCCACCCTGTGTACACACAATCCTTGCTATTCATACTGTCACTCCTTATGTGCACTCTCAACAGGGCATGTCGTCTGCACTCAAGCATGCCATCCCAGCCTCACCCTGCATTTTATTCGGCTCATTCCATTTTCCCCGAGCATTTTCGCTGAACCAGGGCCCTGGCAGGATGCTGGGACTGTACAAGGAGGTAGGACCTGTGCCCACAGAGCTGAGACAGGAACACAGGCTCATCTCCCGCTCTAACCAACCCCTGGGGTGACTCACGGTCCTGCTCCCGGTGCTGTGTCATGACCTGAAATTTAGGGAACACCAATACCCAAGGCCAGATGAGAATGGAAAGCAAAAGGGGGTGCAAGCCTATATTAACCCAGAGGAACACTTAGTGGCTATCAGAGTCAGGGCCGGGAGCCAGAAATTCAGGAGCCAGTGAGCCAAGTGCCACAGCCAGCAAAGAGAGGGGAGGTCATGACGGAGACAGAACAGCCAGTGGTTCACCTGTGCTCTCACAAGTGTCCATCAGAGAGTGAATAAGCCAGCCAAGTTTAAAGGGCCCAGGGCTGGCTGACACTGTTCCTGCAGCCCCATGACTGATTCATAGCTTGACCATTCCCTGAGCACAGCTTCACCACACTACATCTTGGGCAGGCCTTCAGTACAATCAGGGCTTGCCATCAGTACAATGGGAATTTTATCAATCAGGGTCCTAGCAAAAAACAGATGGCACATTCAAACCAAGTAACTTTAAAAGGGGTTTCCTAGAGAGACTATTTTCAAAGGTATGGCTACTGCAATACTCCGGGGCTAGTACCAGGGTAACAATGGACAGGATGCATCCAATCCCAGCAACCAAGTAAATCCCCCCAACTTCACTTTCCCATCTGCTTGCCTGCCGGTGGCTCCCACTGACCTAACCCAACCGGAAGTCAGAGGGCAAGTCAGCCTCCCACTGCACAGGGCAGCGTGTAGAGTAGACCTGAGGGACACAGGGAATAGAGTCAGCATGACACCCAGTTGTTCCTACACAGAGGATTGTTGTAGAGGTAGGAGACACTGGAGGTAAAACATTAGCACAGCACTAATGTATCTGATAAATTCCCAGGTATGACTGTGCTCAGGAAAGCCTCTGCCTGATGCACTGGAGGTCAGCCTCTGCTCGGGCTGGAGGGTTGCAAAGGTCTCAGGGAGGGGTGATCTCCACCTACTTGCCGACATGCATTCCAGCATCTTCCTGGGTGGTTCTGGCTGCCTGGCCAAGGGTGGTTTGGAGGTCAGAGTAACCAGAGAACATCACTGGCTATTACTGCAGAGAATTAACACTCAGCAAGGACTGAGCTTCTAGTCAGTCCACAGAGCTGAGACAGGAACACAGGCTCATCTCCCGCTCTAACCAACCCCTGGGGTGACTCACGGTCCTGCTCCCGGTGCTGTGTCATGACCTGAAATTTAGGGAACACCAATACCCAAGGCCAGATGAGAATGGAAAGCAAAAGGGGGTGCAAGCCTATATTAACCCAGAGGAACACTTAGTGGCTATCAGAGCCAGTGCCGGGAGCCAGAAATTCAGGAGCCAGTGAGCATGTCTCTGAGCATTCCGGCCCTGCACAGCCTGCCTTTGACCTGGAGTTGTTCTGAGCAGTGCAGTTCACTGATCTCATCCAGTATGTGTTGGGTGACTACTGTTCACCACCAAGTCCCAGGGCACATCATGTCACCACAAGGTGGACCTCACGTCCCCTTGACCTTCTCAGGGTACGTGCCTCTACCTCCTCCTTCCCCACCCAGAGGATTCACTGCAAACTCCCTCCAATCACGCATATGAGGGATTAGGATTTCATATAGTCTTCAAATCTATATCTACTGTGTAAGGTCACAGACACCCTGCAGCCCAAGATAAACAGGACATTCTTTTGTACTCATTCACCCTAGTCCAAGTTCCCATGTGGACTGAATGTTTGTGTCTTCCCAAAATTCATATGCTGAATTTCTACCCCCCAGTGTGATGGTATTAGGAGCTGGGGTCTTCAGGGGTCATTAGGTCATGGGATGGACCCTCCTGAATGGGATTAGTGCCCTTATAAGAAGAGATAGGAAAGAGATTATTTCTCTCTCTCTCTCTTCTCCATGTGAGGATACAAAGAGAAAATGGCCCTCACCAAGAACTTGACCATGCTGGCACCTGAATCTCGGACTTCTGTGCTCCCCAGCTGTGAGAAATGAATGTTTGTTGTTTAAACTACTCAGTCTTATAGCAGCCCAAACTGGCAGTACATCATCTCTCCCCGGGATGACTGCTTCCATCTCTTGCTTCCTGCCTCTGACTCTGGGAAGTGGACTCTGAGGAAGGGTTAAGAGGGTGCACTGGGGAGTGACTCCTATAAGTGGAAAAGGGGAGGAAGAAGGATTGAGCAGCAAGATGTGTCCCAGGGAGCTCAGAAGCAGAGACTGTCCATGCGGGCAATTCTGCACCGGACAGCAATGGCGAGGCCTTGACCACCTCCTGGCTCAGTCATGGCCTGAGGTCACCCCAAGAAGAACATGGCCACCTAGACAGCAGCAGCACACCTGGAAGTGCTGATAGGTGGAGGCAGTCAGCTGTCCAGGCTCCACACCGCTAGACAGCAAGTCCTACATTGAAGGGGGATGTCTGTCTGTCATCCACCCCCATAGTCTATTCCCAGCACAGCAGCTGGGGTGATCCTGTCAAAACCTAAGTCAGGACATGTAACTCCTCTGTCTCAAACCTCCAAAGGCATCTTACACAGGCCTTCAAGGGCCCTTAAGATCTACCCCATCCGCATCTCACCTGTTGCCTTTCTAAACTCACCTCTCTTTGCTCACCTGCTGCAACCACACTGACCTCCTGCTGTCCCCTAAGCCAGGAAACACCAGGCACCCTCCTTCCCCAGGGCCTTTGCATCCTAGGTGCCCTCTGTCTGAAATGCTGTGCCTCCAGATAGCCACGGGACTCCCTCCCTGCCTTCGGGGCTTGCATCAAATGTCAGCTGCTTAGTGAGGCGTTCTCTCCTCTTCTACTAGAAATTGAGGCCGCCTGCAGTGACTCACTCCTGTAATCCCAGCACTTTGGGAGGCCGAGGCGGGTGGATTACGAGGTCAAGAGATCGAGACCATCCTGGCCAACATAGTGAAACCCCATCTCTACTAAAAATACAAAAATTAGCTGGGCGTGGTGGCATGTGCCTGTAGTGCCAGCTACTTGAGAGGCTGAGGCAGCAGAATCGCTTGAACCTGGGAGGTGGAGGTTGCAGTGAGCTAAGATCGCACCACTGTACTCCAGCCTGGCAACAGAGCAAGACTCCATCTCAAAAAAGAAAAAGAGAGGGAAATTGAAACTTGCCACCCCTGCACTCTCACTCTTCCCTACTTCATTTCCCCCAGAGCATTCATCACCATCTAACATGTTCTACATTTTATTATCTGTCTTCTGGCCAGCTAGAATGTAAAACCTCTGAGGACAAGAATTTTGTTGTTGTTGTTCCCTGGTTATCTCCACTGTCTAGGATAGCACCACAGCACACAGGAGGTGCTCAGTAACTATTAGTTTTAATAGCAAAAACCACAATTACTTTTGCACCAAACTAAATACTTGTTGAGTTAACAAATTTATATATATATGGATCTGGTGCTCTGCTAGGTGGTGGAGATATAAAGACCCAGCTGCCTGCCCTCAAGGGGTTCACAGTCTAATGCAGGAGGGGAATAAACATAAGTAGACCATGCACCAGGGTATAGGGAAAGGGGGGAAGGGAAGTGGTTTACCAGAGACAGAGTTTCAGTTTTGCAAGAGGACAAAGTTCTGGAGATCTGTTGCACAACAATGTGAATATACTCAACACTACTGAACTGTACACTTAAAATCCTTAAGATGATACATTTTATGGTAGTTGCTTTTTAACACAATTAAAAATTTTTAAATAACAAAAAAACAAAGCACCATGGGTAGTAGCTGAGCTTCTGAGAGCACAAAGGCACACCTAGCACAGAGCGGGCCGCAAGGGGACTTCTGGGAGAAGGCAACAACTGAGAAAAGTCCTGATTCACAGCATTTAGCACGCGAGGGTGCTCCATGCAGAGGGAGCAGCATGGACAAAGGCAAGAACGCACAGAGAACCCCATCAGTGAGATCTGGTTGGGTCATGGCAAGAAGTGGCCATGAACTGGAGGTTGGGGAGCCTAGGGCTTACCCAGAAGGTGACAGGGAGCCATAGATGGTTTTTCAGCAGAGTGATGTTGGTCAGATTTCTAGGGAAGTATGGAGGCTGGGCTGGAGGGGTGGGGCTAGAGGCCAGGAGACCAGCTGGGATGGCAGCAGCCTGAACAGCACCAGGGCAATGGGAATGCAGGGAAGTGTGCGGTTCCAGGGACATTTCCAGGTGGAATGGCCAAGTTGTGGTAACTGTTGTCTTGGTGGCTCCCAATTTCTTCATCCTCTGGGGAAGAGCCGAGTTATTCAAACCTCTAAAGCCCTTGAGGAAGGAGTCAGAGCAGGGTGAGGGCAGCCTTGACGTCACTCCCGGCCCTCCACTGGTTCTTCCCTCCTTCCCAGTACACGGAATCAGAAAGGCTTTGGGAGAGCTGGGCCCAGCCCCAAGAGAGGAAAACTTGGGAGTGAGCAGAGGCTGCAGTGGGGGCGTGGTGAGAACCAGCCTCCAGGGGCCTCGGTTCTCATGCCCTCAAGGGTCAGAACTAAGTGGGGCAGTTGTTAGCTTCAGAGATCCAGGAGACTCAGTTCAGCCTGGCCCTGATGGAGAGACCTAGAGGGGAAGCCAGCTCAGCCAGATCACCCAGGGCAGCTAGCCCTGAAGTTCTCAGGTCTGTGTGTCCCCAAAGATGTCCTCCTGCTGGTCCCGAAGACAGACCAGGGACCCAGCCCTGGGGCCCAGGGAATCCAAGGACTAAATCTTGCTGTGGAGGAAAAGGGACTTCTGTGTCATCAGCCCCAGGCCTCAACAGCCCCCTGCCAACTTCCCTTTCCTCAGCTGTGCCCGCCCCTACCACCGTCCAAGAACAACCCACAGACCCTTTTTGTTACAGTATCACAATGTTTTTAGCCACCACTCACTTGAAAAACTTTAGGTACCACTATTACACTATGTGCTTTGATCACACTGTATGCTGTCAACCCCACAAAGTAGGTATTATCACTATCCTCATTCTGCAGAGGAAGAAATTGAGGCACAGGGATTTGAGTAACTTGCCTAAGGGTGCAGGAGTCAACAGCAAAGTCTCAACTCTTAGGCTCAGCCACCAAGAAAGTCTCAGCACTCTGAGGGCGGTGTCCAGTCTCAGAACCCCACAGCTCCAGGCCCTCAAGCCACACTCATGCCGCCCCTCTACCTAGAATGTTCTTCCCCTCCACTTGGTTAATGGAGGGGGAAAAGCATTTCCTCTCCTCCAGGAAATGTTCCTAACCAAGTCCCCTGGGAATCACCCAGTACCTCCCAGGAGAACTTTCCACATTTATTATCTTACCGTTATCCAAGGGCTGATATGCTCAATCCCTGCACCAGCCAGTGAGGGAGGAGGCCAGATATCACGTTTGGCTGGTTCCTCGTGGTATCCCAGGTCCCCAAGCAGCGGCTGCAGAACAGCAGACACTCATTGATATTCATCCACCTGTGATGCCTGAATGCATGACAGCAGGCTCTGCATAGCCCTTTCACTCCTATGAATGTCCCCCGCACCACCCGGCCACCATTTAGAGGCATACCAATGGGTCCAAGCTAAAGGTCAGGTGGTTCCCCTACCCCCAGTCTCAAGGAGTCCATGGGACTCGCTTAATGGCCTCCGATTGTGTAGCCTGCCCAGGCATGGGGATGTTTGAGAATTCTGGAAGAACGTGGGCTGGGTGTGGGTAGAGACCCCAGCTCCACCACGTATGCGGGAAGCGTGGATTACAACCCCTGTCCCCCATTGGAGCTTCCCGCGCCGTAATTAGCCTTGAACGCCTCATCCTGGCACACTAGGGCCACCTAGCAAATGAGTGGTTCCCACACCCCGTCCCCATCCGCCCACCCCTCACAGCACCCCAGGCCAGTTGCCCAGATCAACAGCTCTTACTGCAACCCTTTCAAATCCAGATCCCCTAAGAGATCCTGGCCTGGGAGAACTCCTCTTCCCTGGCCAAAGAAACGACAGGAGAGTTTACCATCTGGAATACCTGGTGGAGAGAGAACAGGAGAGGAAGGGTAGGTCAGCCCCTCTTGCCCCTCCCCACCGCAAATCACAGGCCCACCTCCCCGGAGTGGGTTTAGGGAGTCTGCACCTCCCAGTCCCCGCCCCCGCCCTCTCTCCGGCCCCCGCCGCCCTCCCCGTCGCGTTTCCTGCCCCCACCCCGCCCCTCTGCGCTATTTAAGGCGCCCCCGCCGCCCGTGCGGTCCAGCAGGGCTCCCGCGGGCGTCGCTCCGGCCATCGTCCCCACCTCCACCTGGGCCACCCGGCAGGCAGGCGGTGAGTCGGGGGCTAGGAGGGGACCGGGGGTGCCACCTGCTCGCGGGAGGCCGGGCGGAGTCTTGGGTCCTCCGAGGCCGGGACGGGGGTTGCTGCGGAACGCCCGCCGCGACAGAGCCGCGCTCACCCAGGTGGCCTTGGCCAGGCTCCCACCCTCTTTCCATGGAATCCTTATAACAACCCGAGGCGGTAGGAATACTATTGTTTCCACTCTACCATGGAGGAGACTGAGGCGCCCAGAGGTTGTTCCTTATCCAAGGGGCCGCAGTTTCTAAAAGCCAAGATTTGAACCCAGGGCCACTTCCAGAGCCTGGCTCTAAACAGCTTTGCACTTGGGAAGAGGCACCTCCCTCTTGGGAACTTTGTGGCCTGTGCCTCACTCACCCTGCAATAACAATTCCTTTCAAGAGTCTAGAATTTGCCAGCATCAGCTTTGGAGATGGAAGGGGGTGGGAGTGGAGGTGGAGGAAGAAGACAGGACCAAGTGTCCCTCCTCAAGTGGCAGGTGGTCATTATTGCTGACCGGTGGAGCTAAAGGATGATGCTGCCTTCAGCTCCTAAAACCCCTCCCGCCTCCCAGCCCCTGCAGGCTCAAAGATTAGAGTGAAGCCAGCTGGGTAAGATATGAAGCAGGGAGCAGGGACCGGAGGCTTTGAGCCCCCTAAGAAGCAGAAGATAACACCTCTACCATCAGCACCAGCCCCCACTGTCTGGGGGTAGCCAGCCTTGGGTAAAAGGGAGGAAGGGCTTAGCCCAGCTGCACAACCTTGGATATATTCCTCAAATTCTGTTCCCACAGGCAAAGGAGCCTCAATTCCACCCAGATTTCCTTGGTCTGTGTCCATCCTAGGGCAGTGGCTTGGGGACAAGAGGGATATCGATGTCTGATTAGGCAGGGACCTTAGCCAAAGCAGAATGAGACCATACAAAGAGGTTGACAGCCATCATCCAAAGATCTGCTTTGGGTCCTGCCTGCACTGCTGAGTGGGAGCCTCCAGGCCAGTCCTTCCCCTTCCTGAGCCTGGGTTTCTATGTAGGTAGAACGGGCATGGCAGACCTCCCTGCAGGCTTGTTGCTGGGCGAACGAGAAGGATGCCATGCTAACATGCTGATGTGCTCTGTCTCCTTGCAGACGGAGGCCCGGGAGCCATGGGTGACTGGGGCTTCCTGGAGAAGCTGCTGGACCAGGTCCAGGAGCACTCGACCGTGGTGGGCAAGATCTGGCTGACGGTGCTCTTCATCTTCCGCATCCTCATCCTGGGCCTAGCCGGCGAGTCAGTGTGGGGTGACGAGCAGTCAGATTTCGAGTGTAACACGGCCCAGCCAGGCTGCACCAACGTCTGCTATGACCAGGCCTTCCCCATCTCCCACATCCGCTACTGGGTGCTGCAGTTCCTCTTCGTCAGCACGCCCACCCTGGTCTACCTGGGCCATGTCATTTACCTGTCTCGGCGAGAAGAGCGGCTACGGCAGAAGGAGGGGGAGCTGCGGGCACTGCCAGCCAAGGACCCACAGGTGGAGCGGGCACTGGCGGCCGTAGAGCGTCAGATGGCCAAGATCTCGGTGGCGGAAGATGGTCGCCTGCGCATCCGCGGAGCGCTGATGGGCACCTATGTGGCCAGCGTGCTCTGCAAGAGCGTGCTAGAGGCAGGCTTCCTCTATGGCCAGTGGCGCCTGTACGGCTGGACCATGGAGCCCGTGTTTGTGTGCCAGCGAGCACCCTGCCCCTACCTCGTGGACTGCTTTGTCTCTCGCCCCACGGAGAAAACCATCTTCATCATCTTCATGTTGGTGGTTGGACTCATCTCCCTGGTGCTTAACCTGCTGGAGTTGGTGCACCTGCTGTGTCGCTGCCTCAGCCGGGGAATGAGGGCACGGCAGGGCCAAGACGCACCCCCGACCCAGGGTACCTCCTCAGACCCTTACACGGACCAGGTCTTCTTCTACCTCCCCATGGGCCAGGGCCCCTCATCCCCGCCATGCCCCACCTACAATGGGCTCTCATCCAGCGAGCAGAACTGGGCCAACCTGACCACGGAGGAGAGGCTGGCTTCTTCCAGGCCCCCTCTCTTCCTGGACCCACCCCCTCAGAATGACCGAAAATCCCCCAGTCGCCCCAGCAGCTCTGCTTCTAAGAAGCAGTATGTATAGAGGCCTGGGGCTTATGTCACCCAACAGAGGGGTCCTGAGAAGTCTGGCTGCCTGGGATGCCCCCTGCCCCCTCCTGGAAGGCTCTGCAGAGATGACTGGGCTGGGGAAGCAGATGCTTGCTGGCCATGGAGCCTCATTGCAAGTTGTTCTTGAACACCTGAGGCCTTCCTGGTGCCACCAGGCACTATGGCTTCCTCTCCAGAACGTGGCTTTGCCTGAGCACAGACAGAGTCAGCATGGGATGCTCTGGCCTTTCGCAGCTGATCCAGAGGGACCCAGAGCCAACTTACCCCAACCTCACCCTATGGAACAGTTGCCTGTGTGCAGGTTGTCCTCAAACCCTCCCCTCACAGGAAAAGGCGGACTGAGGCTGCTGGGTCAGCCTGGATCGCACAGACAGAGCTTGTGCCGGATTTGGCCCTGTCTAGGGGACTGGTGCCTTGTTTTCATCACTCCTTCCTAGTTCTGTTCATGCTTCTAAAATAAACAGGACTGGATCACAAGCTAGGTGTGTATTGATGCTATCACGATGTGCTAGGGGTTGGGGGATAGAGTTATTTTGCCCAGGCTTCCTTTTCTTTTTGGTCCTGTATAATCTCTTTGGTCTCTGTAACCCCCAACTCCAGCCAGCACCTTCACCCCTCAAACTCATACCTTCTGCCTCCAACAGCCCTGATTCCTAAATGTTCTGCCTTTTGAAATGCCTCAGACACTATCTTCTTCTCATCCCCACCGCTCCAGCCCATTAATGAGTGGCCAAAGCATAAGTGTCCTTGCCCTGCCTCCCTTGCCATGCCCATCATCGCCCTGGCCACACTGCCCCCTGCAAAATGCTTCCTTACTGGATGGTTTGCTCCTCAAGCATGCCTGCCAGCCAAGCCCTTCACAGTCCAGTTCAGATGGGCCCTGCACTCATCCCACCTCATCCTCATCCTTGGTATTTGGAAAGGGAGGTTTAGGTCACTAGTCTTTCCTACCTTGGCCCTTTCTAGTCTGCCCACCAGGAGGAGCAACTTAAGGATCTGCTTCATATCTGCTTTCCAGGCACCCAGACCTCAATGAGGACAATGGCAATGTACAGAAGTAGAAGAAACTGAATCTTGCCAATGACTCACAAAGGCTGCAGAAACAAAATGAACAATTGAACTGGGTCTTGACTAGGAGTTCACCGGGGAGGGAAAGAGAACACTGAGCATTCAAGAGGAGAAAACTGCTTGTGCAAAGTCAGAGGAGGGACTGACAGGCTGAGGGGGCACTTAGGTCCTGATGAGCCATCGAGACACAGGAGGTGTGGCTGAGGATGGGCCCACTGCTGGCAGAATTGACCTATGTGGAGGCGACCCAGGTAGGGGAGAGCACTAGGTATTGACCCTCAGAGGCAAGCTGGTTGTCCTCCCTTCCCAGGGATATCTGGGGCTAGGGTTAAAGAAGGAAAGGGGGTCTATCTGATGTGGCCACATGCTTCTTCTTGAGAGTCACGATGCCTTTACAGCAGGTTGGCAAGTTGGCCCCTCACCCATCAGGATAGGTGTTGAAAATACCAGCTCTGTACCCCTCACCCAGAGCTCACTGGCTCACTCGCTGCTTACCCAGCGAGTCTGAACACTCAGCCTCATAAATGACGACCCTCTTCCTCTTCCAGCTGTGGTTCCCATTGTTCCTTCTGAACTGCTGAAATGGATCAGGCCAGCTTCCTCATGGCTCCCAGATTGACCCAGTATGTTCCCACCCTGCCCCGTGTCAGCATGCAGTGTCCCTGCCCCCACACTTCAAAATTCCACAAATCTTTTAAATACTACTGGACCCTGGAAAAGGCCACAGTGCAGAAGAGTAAGATGAGCTTTAGCACCAGAGGTCCCTGAATTTAAATGCTGTGATCTGAAGTCAATCATTTCACTTCTCTGAGTCTCAGTTTTCTAATCTCTAAAATGCAAGTAGCATCACCTGCCTCACAACTGACAGGAAACCAAGTAAGTGAAAGTATGTGACTGTACCTGGCTCAGTAGCCATGCAGTAAAATTAAGCTCATACCTTTCAGCCAGGCTAACATAGGTTCTTCCTCCAGGAAGCGCTCCCTGACTTCTCCAACTAGTCTCCAGCAATGACCTCTGCCTCTCAGGGATCTGAACCACTGCTTGATTGAGTGAGGCTGGGCTCAATCCTGAAAGCCTCAAAAAGGAGGCTGTTCACATACTGGAAGTCCATGACCACTGGAAGCTGAGGTCCTCGTCTAAGAGATTCTCTTCCAGCCAGGGTGAGAGGCCAGAGGCTGCAGGTTAGAAGCCAGCGTTAGAGCCAGCGTTACCAGAGGGGCCTGAGAGCCCTGATTTGGTGTTTCTGTTATCCCCAACCTTTCCTACTTTGGAAAGGTAGGAGAAGAAAGGTTTCAGTGAGCAGAGATGGCATCCTTCCCCTCCCTCAAAGCTCACCCACTCTGAGCTTGGTGTCAGAGCTGGGGTCAGGCTGGGGCTCAGGAACTTGGACCTTTGGCAAGACAAGTTGGGTCCTAGACCAGTGGCCACACAAACACAAGCACATATGGGCTGGGGGTTTAAGAGTGAGGATAGTGTTGTGGGGCTGGGATCACACCGTTTAGGGTTGGGGGTATGGTGAAGA